TTAGTCCATTCTAATTATTTTGGAAAAGGAAGCCAACAATTTGCATATTTGAGAGCTGAAGCACCCCAGTGCCTGCTATCCTAGGTCACTGGCGTGGGCGCAGTGGGAACGCGGATGAGCCCCCAGGGCTTGGTCTTCGCTGCGCTCCCAGGATTCCATCCCAGGGCCTGTACTCAGCCTGCCTGCCAGCCCCTTCAAGCCCGTACCCTGGTTTACCCCCTGGAGGTCTCCTAGGACTCATTCAAGCACTCTCCTCAGAGAGAGTCAGTCTTTCCAGCTTCCTGTGGTCTTATTAGCTCTAAAGACACAGAGACAGGACTCTTTCTGAGGGCATTATCTAATTTTTTACCATTACTTTTGTTCCTTACTTTCCATGATGACATGCTTATTCAAGAAAAGCCTTAAAAATTTACAGCATGTCCATGCCCCTGGGAGTCTCGAGGAGTAAGGAATTCCCCGAGCCCCCAATTCAGCCTCCCCCAGTGGGACCCTGAACGCAGTGCTTGGTGTGTCCGCAAAGAGCCATGTTCCACTCCATCACTGATTTCATGTTGTCCAGAAAATAAGTCAGTTTCCCATTTTATATGTCTGCTAATTGGAATTTCAATATATATCATTTAACTGTGCTCTGCTTGCATGAATTTAAAAGTAAACTTATAAGAAGTCTATCTTCTTTATAAAAAGTATATCTGTCAGCTCCAATAAAATCAATTCAGTAATATTTGAGTGACTTTGTAAGATACTTGACTGACCATAATTTGCTGCTATTTCCTGAGAGCTCCAGTGAATTGTTACCGGAAGTTAGTCTAAGAGAGCCACTTCCTTATTAAGAGAAACACCAAGTGTGTGTAGGCGTGGACACAGAAGTTCACACCGAAGAGAGCATGTACCTCTCAAATCTGCAATTTCATGGCATGCTGATCAGAGGTGTCTCCTGGCAAGCACATGGCTCAACCGCAGAGATGTAAGTACAGGAATTCACAGAGACACAGCTTGGGATGCATCACTCAAGCAGTGAAGGGCAAAGGCGGCCCTCATGAGCGTGAGATATGCAGTATCCACTAAGTAAGCAGGCCGATTGTAAGTGGCTTTTTCTAAGAAACTGACGGAAAGATTCCTGGACTAGATGACCATTCAGTTTCCTGTCACTTCTGATTCTGCATTGACAGGTACTGATTTTATTTATTTTGTCATGCTTTTGGTTTTCCACTTGAAACCCCCAGAAACTGCATTCCCAATGAGAAAATTAAAAGTGCATTGAAATGTGCTTCTCTGAATGACAAAGGTCACTGTCTTTGATCTGCGCAACATTAGAACTTTGCGTTGCTTGGGCACTCTTTTACATTTGGGTGGATGTGACAGTAATTTTCCACCTGACTTTAGATCCTTTCTTACTTTTTTTTAAAAGAGTTTATTTATTTATTTTTAGAGTGGGGGGAGGGAGGAAGAAAGAGAGGGAGAGAAACATCAATGTGAGAGAGAACTGTTGATTAGTTACCTCTCCTACGTGCCCCAACCAGGGACTGAACCTGCAACCCAGGCATGTGCCCTGACCGGGAATCAAACCACTGACCTTCCATTTTGTGTAACGGCACCCAGCCCTCTGAGCCACAGTGGTCAGGGCAATCCTCTTTTACCCATTTTTGTCAATAGAAGATTTTGGTCTTTTTCTCTATCAGTACAGTTCAGGAAAAGATTCTATAGACAACAATGGGGTTGGGTTTTGAATGTCCCCTTTCCTGTCAAAGGCCATTTCACATAATACAGGGACTTAGGTCTCCCACTTGAAGCTCTGAGGAAACCTGCCCCCATTCTGACGTTCCCGTGCCGGCTCGGTGAGCGCCATTCTCAAAATGAGCAGGAATAAGGTGTGGCTTCACTTCCAGGTCACGTCTTGGGTTTTTCTTCAATGGAGGTGTCTTGTTTTTTCCCTGTTAATGTGTAAAGTTTATTAAAAAGTAACAAATAAGCAAATAATTCATATGAAAGGTAAATCCCTACATGATCCTTCTTTCTAGAGATAATCAGTATAAACAGTTTCATGTTTAATTTATAAAATTTTCCCAGATATATGTAAATAGTCACAAAAGACATTGTATAAATATGTTCATATTATAAAATATGTCATATCATTTTGTACACCCATGCTTTGACTTTCTGTGAAAACTTTTTATTTCACTGTATAAAGATCTTATATTATCCTTCTTGTTCCAATATTGTCATTTTTAATGGCTGCATGGTAGCCAAATACTTTAATCCATCTCCAGCTTACAAACCTTTACATCAATTTCAACAGATATTTAGACCTTGGTCACTGTGTTCCGGGCCCGTTGGATTCCCTCCTGTTCCCAGGCTCCCAGAGCCCTTCCTGCCTGGGGGTTGTGCCACCACTGCTTGCTGGACAGACCATGGTCCCCTTGCGCTGGAGGCAGGTGGGCTCCCCTTTGTCCTTCAGATTCTGCCCATGTGTCTCCCCTTTGGGGAGACCTTTCCCAATAATTCCATCTAAAGGCGCCCACTTTGAACCAAGTCACTCTATCATTTTGGCCTGTTTATTTCCTTCATAGTGCTTTTTACTCTCAGCAACTGTTTTATTGATTTATTTCTGGTGTTTTAGTGGCGATAATTAACCATGACCTCTCCTTGTTCCAAGTCAGAAGAAATAAATTCAGAAAAAGACACAAGGAATCAGGTAGAAATGAAAATTAAGTCTTAATGAGGCTTATTGAGAAAACATGATTTCTATCTTTGACAAAATTTCTCTCCAGATCGCAACTTTTAACTCACCCCCACCCTCAAACAGGACAAATGAGCTTGTAGGCTTTACCCTGAGAGAGTAGAAATGTATGCAACCAAAAACGAGAGCAGAAGAGGCACATTCTCACTTCCTTTTTCCTGTTTCACAAATCATGTAAGTTGGAGGACAGAGAGGGGCAGGCGTATACCAAGGTGTTTCCATCCTGGGGCAGACAAGGTTTTCCCCCAACCAGAGAGGCGTAGATGACAAATGCACCCCTTTATTCCTTGTCTGTCACCCCGTCAGAATGTCAACTTTATCCACTGCTGTCACTCCAGAGCTTAGAACAGAAGTTGGAGCAGATGATGTGCTCAAGGGATACTGTCAAGGACTTGTTGAAGTATAAGTTTAAACTGTATAAAACTATACACATATCAAACTCACCTAGGTTGTAACTGGTAATACTCAGTACTGACAACCGTGTGAGGAGAAGGTGTCATTGTCACGCTGTCAGAGGGAGAAACTGGTGATCTTCTGCAGGGAAGATGGCAGTAGGTACCAAATGCCCTGGAACGTCTGCATCTATAGCATCTGCAATTTTACTTTTGGAATACATCCTAAAGAAATAATAAAGATTACAGACAAAAGTTCAATTTGAAAGAATGTTAATCTCAATGCTATTAAACATTAGAGAAATAAGAATAAAAAACTTCCAATGATAAGAAATTAGATAACTTGTGACAATAGAATGTTGTCCTAATGGTAAATAACATCTTTAAGATATTATTTTAATACATAAATATTACTCATTATATTAAGTGAAAATGGTAGTTAAAAGTCTGTATAGAATAACCCCAATTTTAAAATGTGTATCTAAGGATCTAAATTTTTTTCTTAAAGAAGACGCTGGAGTTATTTTTTTAAAAATATTCTCCCAGATGTGAAACTTTAGCCTAATTTAAATGTAAAGATAGTTCAGGCTATTTCTTGAAAAAATGTGAAAAAAGTGTAAAGGGACAGCACCGGATCGTGTGGTTCCTCGGCATGATGATGCCGTCCAGCCCTTTTGTGACCCTTTCCTCCTCAGCTCTCGGACAGAGCCAGGCACCTGCCTGGAGGGGCTCCTCAGAAAGACCCACCCTGATGGTGCCCAGCTGACCCCACTCCCTGCCCGTGCTCAGAATCCATCAGAGCGGCTGTGGGCAGCCAGCAGGGGGTTTGATGGCAGCGCGCCTTGCCGAAGCTGGAAGATGCCACGGCGACAGCGGGTCCCAGCACACCAGAATGCGAGATAAGCTCTGAGATCTGTCTTTATATTGAGTTATAAACAGGAAAGGAGAAACCAACCAAAGAAAATACAATTATAGTATAGTACAGCTGTCCTCTTTAAATGTATCCACAGTTAATGTTAATCTGTCTTCCCCTTTTGCTTTTCATCCTTGAAACGGCTGCAGAAATGTCATCAGGTTGAACTGAACTTAAGACACGTGCATGTGTTTGTTCACTGCATGTACCTGTAGTGCTCTTTCACTGGTGCCTGCGTTCCAGCATCCAGTGCAGATGAGGAAGTAGCTAAGACTCCCAAAACAAAGCTATAGGAAATGGGAAAGAGGAACCAGGAGATGCTTCTAGGAAATATTAGGCAGCTGTTGAAAGGAAGGGCTTGCAAAGTTTGAAGGACACTACCAAACTGAGATGTTGTTTTGAAGGGTTTTTAAATCTGAAATAAGTGGGTAGGAAAGCGTGTGGGAAGGCAAGGGGATAAATAAGCAGCACAGAAAGAACAAAGGAGCCTCATCATGTCATGTCTTGGACCAAGGAGGCAAGCCAGCTTAGGAAATGAGACTGCTTCCCATTGCGGACATTTGGTCAGGGTGATTTCTCTTCTTTCTACATAAAGAATCCAGACCCGTGCCCTCAAAGGGAAGCCAGATCCCTGAATTCTCCAGAACACAATATGTCTACAGGTGCGTGCATCCTATTAGGTAGAATATACAATAATGTATTATGTTATCTATTTTATTATCTATGTATAGATACCTATATATTTTACTATTTCATTGATAGAAGGGGAACTTTTCCTGATTTATATGAGTACTCCAAGTTAGTTTTTTACAATATATCTAAAAACAAATGATAGAGAATACATTCAAAGTAGGACATTTCTAAATGCCCATGTGGTAACATTTGCTAAGTACTTTGTGTCTTGATTGCCTTATAGCTGTGACCTTGCTGTCCTGCTCACGGACGTGTCTGTCTCTGCCCCAGGATCATGGGAAGCAACCAGACATGGATCACAGAAGTCACCCTGCTGGGATTCCGGGTCGAGCCAGTCCTGGAGTTTTTCCTCTTTGGATTTTTCTCTCTCTTCTATACCCTCACCCTTTTGGGGAATGGCTTCATCCTGGGCCTTATCTGCTTGAACTATAGACTGCACACCCCCATGTACTTCTTCCTCTCACACCTGGCCGTCATTGACATGTCCTATGCTTCCAACAATGTCCCCAAGATGCTGGCTAACTTAGTGAACCAGAATAGAACCATCACCTTTGTCCCTTGCCTTATGCAGACTTATTTGTATCTGGCCTTTGCTCACGCAGAGTGCCTGATTTTGGTGGTGATGTCCTATGATCGGTTTGTGGCCATTTGCCACCCCCTCCAGTACTCGGTCATCATGAGCTGGAGGGTGTGCACAGTCCTGGCTGTCATGTCCTGGGTGTTTAGCTTCCTCCTGGCTCTGGTCCATTTAGTTCTCATCCTGAGGCTGCCCTTCTGCGGGCCTCATGAAATCAACCACTTCTTCTGTGAGATCCTGTCTGTCCTCAGGCTGGCCTGCGCTGACACTGGGCTCAACCAGCTTGTCATCTTTGTTGCCTGTGTGTTTGTCTTGGTGGGGCCCCTGTGCGTGGTGCTGGTCTCCTACGCGCGCATCGTCTCTGCCGTCCTGAGGATCCAGTCAGGGCAGGGCCGCAGGAAGGCCTTCTCCACCTGCTCCTCCCACCTCTGCGTGGTCGGGTTCTTCTTCGGCAGCGCCATTGTCGTGTACATGGCCCCCAAATCCCGCCACCCCGAGGAGCAGCAGAAGGTCCTTTCCCTGTTTTACAGCCTTTTCAACCCCATGCTGAACCCACTGATCTACAGCCTGAGGAACGCAGAGGTCAAGGGTGCCCTGCGGAGAGCACTGTGCAAGGAGAGGCCAAGTTAACTGAGGGACATCAAAGAGCAACCTGGGAGCGAGAGCCTTGCTCCCTGTGAAGAATGGTAGGAAGCAGTTTTTGCCTTGTGCTATAATAAATGCCACATTAAAACAGACTATTAGGGGCCTAAATTGATCACCTGACACCATATAGACTTTTGAAAATAAAATAGATGATTGTCTCCATGACCTTGGAGAGACAAAGATTCTCAGAAATCATCCAAAAACATAAGATATAAAATTCGAAAACTTGTTGGTTTGAAATATTGTACCTCTTAAAAATATATCATTTTGCTCATCAAAGTCACTATTAAGGAAAAAGAAATGCGAGTCACAGATCATGTGTGTTATGTATGTATTTTAAATGTGATGCTCAGTCAAGTGCAGCCACAAGAGGAGACACAGGAGAGGCTTAGAACAAAACAAACTTTGTCAAACCCACAGTTTTTAGAGAGAGAAGGCATGCAGGGCCACATGGGACAGACAGCAGGAGGCAGGAACAAGGGACCCAGTGAAGGAGGCATATACGAACAGGTTGCAGTTCTAATAGTTAAATCTTTACTATAAAAAGAAAGGAACCGTGTGGAGAGACAGTGCATGAGGTTTCCACAGCTGAGAATTAATACTCAGCACCTGAGCTATCTTACCCTTAGTAATCTCATTTTAAATCTATCTGGCCTCTCTTCTCCCTTGAAATGTAAAGTGTTGTCTCATAGTGAATGCTGTTGTTTTCTTCGGCTTTTCTTGGTTCTCCTCACTTTGAAAATCCACATGCCCATTTCTGACTTTCAGGCAATGGCACATGCATCTCCTCAGCATTTCTGCCAATTCTCGGGTATTCGAATATCCCCCTGACAAACTGCTCTGTGATCTGATTAGAAGGATCTCTTGCCCACTTCCAACAAAAGGATTTGGACGTTTTTAGTTTCCATCAGCCTTACTCAAAACATTTATTAAAAAAGAAATATAATGAAGTAACTTGTAAAAGAAAAACAGGTGGCAACTACAAACTTCAAGCCCACGAAATGATGACTCCCTGTTCTCTAAAAGCAAAATAAAATGAAAATAAATAACTTTTATAATTTTTACTTATCGAACTCTGACAACCTAGACAATATCTTAAAATCCCAAAGCAAATTTCTCAAATATACTGCTCCTAATTGTGAGATTAAAGTAAAACAAATTCTTTTCTGTCACCCAGTTGTAATCATTAGAGGGTCCAGTGGGAAAGGGGAATTGTCAGCACAGCTGCGGAGAGAGCAGAAAGTGCACGCGGCGCTGCCAGCCTCGCAGGCAGGGGCAGTGTGCTGCGGGCCCTGCTGACAGGCCCTTCAAGGAGCAGCAAAGCCCAGGACCTTTGAAGATGTGTGAAGGTCACCAAGATCAATGTTCTCAAAAAACTTGTCATAGAGGATGGCTGTGAATTAGCTATTAAGACCACAACTGCATGTCACAATAGGTTCCAAAGTTGACATCCTATAGGCAGCTGCAGATGAGCATGCCGGTCCTTAGCAGTGGCATTTAAAAATCCTTCACATCCTCCAGTGTGGCATACTACAGTTTGGGGAGGAAGAATGAAGAATTGGTTAAGAAGACATGAACAGAAGGAGGTGATGAAAATTAATATTTTATTTGACATCGATAACCTTATCTCACCATAAATTCCATGGAGAAAACACGAATGGGGAATTCTCCTTCTGGTGTGACAGTATGACAAGCTCTGTGGACATGCTCCTCAGTGAAACTGGGGCAAATTTTTTTTAAACAACCAGTTCAAGTCTCTGGAAATGGCTCTCAGAGTATACAACAAATGAAGAAACATTTATTCAAGAAAATCTGCTAGAATGCGGTAGGAAGAGCGAGAGTCTGTGATATGTGAACCAAGGTCAGCCACCTCCCTCCCCTGCTCAGCTCATGGACAAGGGGACTCCAGACGCAGGCTGCCACACCCGACCACAGGGTTCGCTCTCTCCGCAAGGCCCCATGAGAGGGCTGTCTCCCGGGAGGGGTGGGATGTCAGCGCTCCTCACCCTGCTTCCCAGCCATCTGCTGCTGAGGCTGAGCTCCGGGTGGTTGACTCAGCCAAGTGGGGGGTCCCTTTTTCTGCCCAGCCCCCACCCACAGGACAGAGATTCTTCTTGGGCACAAAACCACTCTACTGTGGTGGTCTCACACCAGGCAAGGCTAGCCAAGATCTGAGAGTAGTGCTTCCCCCCTTAATACTTGCTGAGAGCCCGGCTCCAACAGTGGAGATCCCACTCAGGGAGAAGTATGCCCCAGTGCCCACACTGCGCCAAAAACAGTGCCTCAGAGAATTTGACTGGAGGTACAAGTAGGCCAGTCATCCAATAGCTGGTAATCTCTCCTGTAGAAGCTGACTACCTGTGCAACAGACAGTGGGGGAAAATCAAGTCTAAGGGCTCTCTCAGACAGCCCAAAGTTACAAGTGAAAAACAGGTGGGAAGAGATTGATAGATTTGCTGGAGCCTAAGCTGTTGGCTAGTTAATTTGCAGGCAAGGGCTGGAGTAAGAAGTAGCCAAAAGGGACCTGCTAGGGATCAGAAGGAATTGCAAACACTAACTAACCCCTAATGGATCCCTTCAGTGGAGCCCGCATTTGATTCAATCTTTCTTTCCAGCAAGTTATGCCCTGGGTCATTGCTGAGAGCAAGAGTAATCAGCTCACAGTCAGTGTGGAGTTTCACAGCAGGGCAGGTCTGGGACTAGGCCAAGCCGTTCTCACCCCAGGGAGAATGGAGGCACACACAGGGTCGCCCTCCATGACAAACAGTGTCATCTGTTACTCAAGACTTAACTGTGATGTTATCACTTAACACTGAGTTATGGTGGAGGAAGCACAGACTTTGCTAAAATAATCCAGCCAATTGATAAACAAATAAGGAACCAAGCATATAACAGTAAAAGGCTCCAGGGGAGATGTGGGGAAGGTCCAAAAACCCAGTTTCATCTAAAACGCCCTGCTTCCAACAAAGAATTAATAAGACATGTAAAGAAGCAGGAAAGAATAAGCCATCCTCTAGTTAAAAAAGCAGGCAACGGAAGCTGTAAAAGGGATGAGATGCTGGATTTCATAGACAAAGATTTCAAAGCAGCTGTTATAAAAATATGATTGATGAACACACGGAAACTATGATTAAAGGAGTAAGGGCTGTACCAGTTTGGACCACCACGTCACATTTCTTTAGACTGAAGAATGCAATTCACAGCGCAAGGTGTCTAACAATGGGCAAAGAGCCCATCACGTGGACATGTTGTGTTGCACATCATCCTCTGAGCGGTGGTTTATTAAGAGACTTGGAACGGGCAGTCTAAACATTTGCCATCTACAAGGGGAGCAGATAGGCACGGAGTATCGGCTTACACACCTTCGTGAGGGTGTTCTCACAGCCAACATGAGCAGGGCCCGAGGTGAGCTCCCACTCACAGATACCGCCACTTTTCTGGGGGTATTTGAGGGGAAGGGGTGTAGGAAGATGCTGGTACCACTATGCGATTCTTGCTCACATTATCCCAACTTTCTGTGTTCCTGCCCCAGAAGCAGGGATGATCCCTAAGCAAGAAACCGTAGCTATACCATAAAACATTTACACCAGAACTCCTAATGGCTCCTGGGATGCCCGTGTTTTCATGCCCTCTGGCACAATTGGGGGTGAGAGTGAACGCAACTGCATTGCCTAGTGGTCGAGGTGGCCCATCAGTCCTGCACCCGCGTGACCCCACCCTGTGTGAATAAGGTTGGACTGAGAGACACCTGCTCAACTGTCAGAGATCCATAACATCCAAATATCCCTTCCAAAAGTGGAAATTTGAGGGAAAGTCTGATAAATGGTGAGAAGGAGAAAGAGTAGGCGAGAGTAAACAAATGGAAGTAAGGAAATCTAGTATTACATCGGAGACAAAAGGCTCACAGCTGCAGAATGAAACTGTCTCTTTAGCCCAATTATACCAGGTGCACAAAATGGTGACGTCACATGTTTGCTCAAACCAACCTTGCTTTTGGAAGCTGACAAGGTCAAATGGAAGCATGCAGTCCTGAGTGACCTTTACTAGGACACATTTTGGTCATGTGAAAGGATGATAAGCTGGATCAGTTGTTGGTGGCTGGATGGAGTTCCGGTAAGGTAGCAGTAACTTTCAACTTCTCTTTTTTAGGTTGCTTCTACTGCACTGGCTCTCTTTTTGCGAAGAAATTTCCAGGAACCCCTGTCTATGTGGCCACTGGACCATGTGTTCAATTCTCAGCTGGCTGATCACAGTGTAACTATTAACACAGCTCAAAGGAGAACAAGTACCAACCAAATTAGTACAAAAATATGAAAATGTTCATCGTGGCTTCATAGGATGCAGCTGTTACTTCACGTTATCCCTGGGCTGCAGTGGCTCCTCCAAACGTGGGGCTCATCCACGCTACGGCCGTTTTTATTATACTAAGTAAATCGTCACCATGTCTGTTATATAAGTGCCCCCCTAAACCTAGATGCTCAGGAAATAATGGGCATTTTGCTGTGAGAGTCCACAGGCCAGGGGCAGACTGTGCAACCCAGGGTTTACTCCGGTAAGTTTACATAAATTGAAAATGAAAAGACACTTTGAAACATTCTAACCCTGTCCCTTAGAGTAAGGCACAGAAATGGAGATTGTTTTCTTCCGAGGTAGGATTCAGAATTATCTTGATTATTTGGGGTGGGCTGATAATAAAGACGGTGGAGACAGGGTGGCATCTCTTTGGACCAACACAGGATTAAAAAAAAAAAAAAAAGGAAACACGGCAGAGCGGTTAAGAAGAAAGACTTGGGGGCAGGCAGAATTCTAAAGGAGGCCTCCTAAGTCACCCACGCCTCGTTATCTGGTCCAGCACTGGTCTCAGCGCTGCTCTGAAGGGGTTTTGCCCATCAATTGATCTTAAACTGTGGAGGCCATGATGGTGGGCCGAACCCAATCAGGTGAGCCTCCTAAAAGCAGAGGTTCTCCCTGTCCCCTGGCAGAGA